TGACAGGGTGGGGACCCAGCTTCGTGCTGCCCGAGACCCGGCGCTGCCGGCCATCAGCGTGTCAAGTGTGCGAGGCCTCGGCTCCAGTGTGGAACTGGGGCGGCGGCGTGGCCGCGGTGCTGAGGCGTTGCAGGGGACAAGCCTCTGCCTTTTAAAGGGAATTTTTGTTAAGAGGAGCTTGCAACTCGCTTGCGACCCCTTCCCCTCCCTCCATCCCTGACACCCTGTGCTCCCACCCTGCCTGGAGCAGCCCTGACTGACGCCGGGCCAGGGACTGCCCCAATCCTGCTCCTGCTCCCGCCTGCTCCGCAGCGTGGGTCATGCTCACAGCCACCCTGCCCAAGGCAGCAGGACCCCCCAGCCCTGGGCGTGGGGTCTCAGCTGCTGCATCACCCGTGGGGACCTGCCTGAGCCCCGGGGTTGGGCTGCAGCCGCTGGCACACTGGCTCCGGTGGCTGATGGCACGGGGTGCTGTGGAGCCCACCCTGGGGTGCAGCCCCGTCCCATGGGCGGCCTCGCACTCAGCCCCTTGCCCCCCACCCACGTGGCTCTGCCACTCCTCAAACCTCACTTTATAGTCTGCAGACGCCCCTGACGCCCCAGCGATGAGCTCCCCCTTTTCTATTCCCGGTGTACATAGCCCCGGCCCCCGCCCACCCCCGTGTACAAAGCTCCGTCCATCGCTGTACTGGCTTCTCCCTTACAGCACCCCTGCGCTGCCCCGGCGCGCGGGCTGGCGCCGGCCCATCCTGTATGCTTAAAGGTGTGACCATTCTAATAAACAGTATTATTATTATTATTATTATTATTATTATTATTATTATTGAAATTATTAATAAAGATTTCTTTCTTCAACCAGGGCAACTCAGGTTTTGACTGGGGTGCTGGTGTGGGGGTGTGGGGCTGCGGCTGCCACAGCAGGTCCAGTCGTGCTGAGCAGGGGGCTGCAGCCTGTGGGTGAGGGGGGGACCTACGGAGCCCTTGGCCTCACCATGACGAGGGAGCAGGGTGCGGCACAGGGAGCCCTTCCTTGGCTGGGCTTAGCCCTTCATTCTTCAAACCATCAAGTAATTCGTTCCCCAGCGTGTTCCCACCCCACCACTGGCATTGACGTCCCTGATCGGAGCCCACATTGTTTGGGGACAGGGCCAGCACACAGAGGGTGTGTGGCTGAGTACCCCACTGCGGGCGCGCTCGCCTGCTTCTGCCTGCTAATTGCTTGCTCACCAGACTGTGAGAAAATAATTGCTGCTATAAATTTTCTCTCCTCCTCAGAAGATGCTCAGGGGAGGCAGCACAGGCTGATGGCACTGGGCTGGGTCCACAGTGATGGGCACAGTGGCCACCCATGCTGGCAGCTCCCCACTGGACTGGGCCCTGAGGGGAGGGGGTATGGGGCTTGGGGTTCTTGGGACAAGTAGCCCCATCCTGTGGACACACAGCTTGCAGGCAGTGAGGGCTGCAGGAGCTGGGGGGCAGGTCACACATGTAGGGGGGTCCCTGCCAGCCCATCACAGGACCCTGGTCAGCACCCAGCGGGCCCCCACGGTGAGGGCTGAGCACAACCACAGATCAGGAGAAGAGGGACCCACCTATCCAGGGTAATGAAATGCAGCCTCTACCATTGGTGTCCCCCACCCGCAGCCCACCCACCACATGGAGGAAACACAACACAGGCCGCACCACGGTTGCTTTAATGCCCATCTGAGCTGGTGCCACTGCCTGGTGAGGAATAGACCAGCACGAGGCGGCCCCAGCGGTCGGGGTCCACGGGCAGCTCATCCCGCAGCACCGGTTCCACCAGCAGCTCCAGCCGGCAGGACTGCCCGGGCGTCGGCCGCGGCACCGGCAGCCCCACGGCACGGAACAGGCAGCCCTGTGCCAGCCCCAGCAGCTGCGGTGCCGTCTGGCCTCGGCGGCACCGGGCACCCTGGCTGAGGACACGGAAGCATCTGGCACGGCCAGGCGGGAAGGACCAGCGCAGGGTGAGGCTGAGCGAGAGCTCCTCAGGCTCGGGGCCCTCCTGCCACCAAAGCTGCGAGGCTGTCACACTGAGCACCTGTGGCGGGGAAGCCGCCACGCTGGCCGTGTCCAGCACCTGTGAGGGAACCACAGGGCTGTCAGGGAGCAGCAGGCACCCTCCCACCTTCCCAGAACAAGGGTGGCATCAGGCAGGTGGCTCCAGCTGACAGCAGCAGGCACTCACCCGGACCTCCCCGAGGAGGCAGGTGAAGGATGTCTCCTGCGGGCTGGGCTGCTGGCGGGACACAATCACAGAGAGGTCTCGCAGGGTGCAGTCCTGCAGCTCCAGCTCATAGCACCTGAGAGGAAAGGGGCAGAGCAGGAATTGTACCAGGGAGCCACGGGGTCTCATGCCTGCCTGTGGGGACAGGATGCAGGCAGGGCACTCACCGGCTGGTCCAGCCATGGGAGCCACGGTGGCAGGCAGCAAGCAGCTTGGCAAGTCCAGGCGGTGGAGCCGGGAGGAACCGGGGGTGATACCGACCATTGGGCTCTGCAAGAGGGAGCCAGGTCAGGGGGCAGGGGGCTGAGCTGGTCCCGCGCCACACCGCGGGTGCTCACTGCAGAGAGCATGGCGAGACGGGGTCCTCACCAGGCAGGGAGGTGGGGTTGCCCTCAAGGCAGGTCCCTGAGTCCCAGGTGGTGACCTCCAGTGCCACCACAAAGTCATCAGACTGTGGCCCCTCCAGCTTGTAGAGCAGGGTCAAGAAGAGCTTGGGGGGTGCTGGCATCTGCAAAGAGAAGAGGCTGATGACCCCAAATCCACCCAGAGAGAGAGAGAGAGACAGAGACAGAGAGAGAAACAAAGATACATTGGGTTAGGTGTGCTGGGCAGTGTGGGCAGAGCCCCAGTTCACTTGCCATGAGGCCCTGGGGCCGCACAGCTTGGGCCATGCTGGCTGTGCTGTGCCAACATGGTGCCAGCCTGGTGCTGAGGAGGGGACAAAGGGCTTTGCCCCAACTCACCGGACGGCCACGCGCTCCTCGCCGGGGGGAATGGTCCCCTGCAGCCTCAGGGAGCTGCCCCCACACCAGGCATCCTGCAGGCAGCAGCTGGTGCTCAGCCTGCCCTGGTGTTCTGGGTACAGGGGCTGGATCTCCTGCATGCTCAGGTCATACCAGGGCCCAGACTCTTCGTCCTGCAGCACAGGGAGAGCTGGGCTGGGGGAGCCAAGAGCAGGGACCCCCTGCCCATCCCAACCCAGTCCAGCCTGACCAGAGCTGTCACCCTGCACCCACCTTTCCATCCAGGAACCTGCTGGTGCCCATGCCCAGGCTGAAGGAGGTGGCGAGGGGCAGTGTGCAGATGCTGTGTGTGGGCAAGTACTCAGCCAGCAAGCCCCAGAACCTGGAGGCAAAGGTGGGTGTCAGGGCAGAGCCCCCTGCTATAGTTGCTGCCCTGTATGGCCTAGAGCATCGTGTCGGCTGTGGCAGAATGGGACCAGCTGGCTCCTGGCCAGCAGCCCATGTGCCAGCCACAGTGCCCTGGCAGCCACGGTGTCCTGGCAGCCCTGTTCCTGCCGCCTCACAGTCCTCCTGGCCCAGCCCCATTCCTCCACAACCTCCTGCCGAGCTGCTCTCACCTATTCTCTGCTCTCACCTATTCTCGTTCTGCAGGAAGTTTTCCTCCCCCAGGTGCTCATAGACCCAGCCGGGAGCGAAGATGGCAGCGGAGAGGCTGTGCTGGCGGATCAGGCGCAGGGACTGCAGAGATGAGTGGTGAGCAGCACAGGCCAGACCATGTAGTCACTTTGTCACCTGTCTTGTCCCTGCTCCCCCAGATCCCACTGGCCCCGTGGTGAGGCAGAACACTGTGGGAATGTGCTGTGGCATCTCCCTCTCCAGGGATGGCAGCTTGGGGAACCCTCAGCTCCCTCTCCATGCATGTCCAGGAGCTCTGGGATCCCCCACTCCTCACCAGTTCATCCCCAGATAAGCAGCCCATTGGTGGGAGCTCAGAGCCCTGCACCAGGGGAGGTCCAAGGTCCCATTCTGGCCCAGCCCTGTCACACTCACCTTGTCAGTGTCGAAGCCACCACCGATTACGTCCCCACGGGCAAAGACATCAACACCAACATAAACGTCAGCGTGGCGTGGCCCGGCCAGCCTGAGTGTGTGCTCCAGCTGCTTCTCCTTCCAGTTGTAGTTGGTGAACAGCCCATCACAGGCATCGAAGAACACCCTGGGGATGAGGGTCAGGGTGGCAGGGTAGTTGCTGTGGCTGTCCTCACAAACACCCCCACGCACTGAGGGCTGCACAGGTCATGCCCTGACTACTCCTGCACAGGGTTTGGGGTGGGCTCACGCCCCCCACCCAGGTTCAATTTTGCCGACCTCACCTATTGTCCTCATTCAGCTCATTCTGCCACCTCAGCGTGCCATCCTGCAGGACGCTGTCGTACCAGATCACCAGCCCCCCTGGCACAGCGCTGTGCACCCGTGCCGTCAGGTCCCGCAGGAAGGGGGGCAGGTTCCCCACTGCTGCCGCCTGGCAGGAGAGAGCAGGGAGAGGTGGGTGAAGGGTGTGGGATGGGGTCTCCCTGTGGGTGAAATACGAAGGCAGGGAGGTGAGCAGGGGGAAGGCAGGGAGGTGAGCAGGGGGAAGGCAGGGAGGTGAGCAGGGCCACCATGACTTACGCTCAGCGTGTTCTCGATGTTGACCAGCCAGCCATCGAAGCGGTAGTGCTGGGCGATGCGGGCCAGCTGCTCGGCCACGGCACCGAACGCCTCCTCCCCGCCAGCCAGGAACGCCTCACACATCTTCTCCCCGTCCGTCCACTCCGTGATGAACGTGCCTGGGGTGACGGCAAGGGCAGCATCAGCCACATGCCCCAGTGAACCCACTGCACGCCTGGGGCTGCCCCAGGCTCAGCCCTGCCCTCACCCAGCACGGGGACGCCGTTCCGGTGCGCCGCGTTGGTCCAGACCACGGGCGGGATGGTGACAGTGTGGTGACTGAAGTAGACAAAGATGTCGATGTAGCGCCAATGGTAGAAGACGTAGGGGTTGCGTGTGGCTGAGCCCTGGATGAACCTGCAGAGAGAAAAGAGGGTTGGGCAGTGTAGGAAGGACGCTGGCAGATGCTGCAGGGCTGGGTAGGAGCCTGACTCACACCTGAGAGCTGTGCACAGCTGTGGCTCTGACCCAGCCCTGAACATCCCAGCCTGAGCAAGGTTGCTGAGCACTGGCACCAAAAGCCAAATGCCCCATCCCTGCCCACCTGTGGCTGAGCCGGAAGGAAACATCATCCAGAAACAGAAGCGGTTTGGGGGTTGAGACATCAAGCCCCGCTACTGCATCTCCCCTCCACCCAGCACGTACCTGTCCTCCAGGTACCCGCCACGCATGTCATGGCACACCAGCGTCCGGGGCCTCCTGCTGTGGAGTGGGGGCTGGCGCTTGGCCAGCGGCACGGCCGAGATGTTGAAGTCATCGTTGCTGTTGGGCTGCCAGGCCAGCAGCTCTTCCAGGCCGGACAAGAAGAAGCTGATGGGCTCTGTCGTCTTTGTGTCGAAGTACCGCGCTGGGGGCGATGGGGAGACGGGACAGGGTCAGCCGAGAGCACTGCCTGAGCAACTCGCCACCGGCACTGGCACCAGACTGTCCTCATCCCGGCAGGGCCCCAGCGGTGCAGCGGGCCCCTCTCACGGTGCCTCACCTGGCAGGGGCTGCGGGCGGTCATTGATGGTGTCGTGCAGGACGGTGGTTCCCCGGGTCTCCGCYGCCGGCTGGATGCTGCCCCGGGATGGGGGTGAGTGCCGGGCCGGAC